TACTATATATAAAAAATACATTTCTTATTTACACATATATACACACATAATTATATAATAATGATATGCTGACATAATTAAAAGAAGAACGTTTTTATTTTAATTATGTCACATAACATTATGTATAAATATTAGTATGTGTAAATAAGATAAAAAAAGTACTCTTAATGCACAGGTAGATTAAAATAGTATATAATACCTAAAAATGCAAAGTATTATATGTTTTTATATATTTTACAAACATATATAATTTATTAACTGCCCAGTAAACGAAAATAAATTAAAATGGATTTTAGGTATTATATCTTATTTTAATTTTAATTTTATTTTAATAAAATACTATAATGTATTTTATATTTACGTTCTGATATATAATACCTTATTATGTATGTACATGCACATATGTCAAAAAGGATGTGCAAACCAACTACGTCCTGAGATGGCGTAGAACAGTTGATGAAGAAAAAAAAAGGATAACTCTGGGGAGTTCTATCTTTTTTTTGGTGGATACTAAATGTGGTTATGGTATATTTGGATCAGAGTTCGCGAAATTATAACTTAGGATTATTTGGTTCACAATAAAGATAATTTCTAGATCAATGTAAACGTAAACATAAAGATCAATAAAGAGTTATGTAAAAACAATATTAATAAAATGACAATAATAATAATGACAATAATAATGACAATGATAATAATAACAATAATAATAATAATGTCAATGGAAAATATATCATGAATCATAATGGTGAATAAAATAACATTATGTTATAGATCTAATTATATGTGGAGTAGAAAAACAAATTAGACAAAATAAGAATGGGGATGATGGCTAGAAACCAAGGTATAAGAACTTCAAAGGATAAGAGCTTTATATGACAAAAATTATTAATAATATATACATATACCACATATATATATATATATATATATATATATATATATATGAATAAAAGTATCAGCACTATATATAATCTGACGTAGGTTTAATACTGATAATATATTAATCAATCAATATAAAAGAGAAATGTCAACTAGTAATGATAACAGTATAATAATAATTATTATTATTATAGTAATAATAATGATAATATAATGTAAATAAAAAAATATATATATATAATGTTATTTAAATATTATTATAAAGAGCATATAGTAATAATAATAGTAATATTATAATGTAAATGGAAAAGAATATAATATATTATTTAAATGTTATTATAGAGAGCATATAGCAATAATAATAATGTAAATAATGTAAATAAAAAATATGTAAATAAAAAAAATATAGCATGTTATTTAATATATGTATGTTAATAAATATTACTATGAGATATACAAAAGACGAGATATACAAAAGATGATGTAAATCTAATGTGGTAGGAATTTACTTTGTAAAGAAATCAATCAATCAATAATAAAATAATAATAGTAATAATAGCTATCTGAATAATAATAATAATAATAATAATAATAATGGAAACGATTACCTTAGCTGGTCGAAGTAAATAATTATAATTTTGAAATTTTACCAAATTCTCTTTCCTTTCCTTTTCCTTCCTTGGTTATTAATATAGTTTTCGCCCCTAATGATAAAAAATTCAGTGCTTTGATTCAGTGGGATGATTCGGCGACTACACTCTCCGGAGGTTCGTTTACGACTATCGCGTCTGGATCCAAGTCGTACCTCTAGGGTAGGACCCGATGCAAAGAGGAGGGGCAAACAAAGCACTCCTCGACTGAGCATTTCATTTCATACTATGAATTATTTACACGAAAATAGGAAAAGATAAAAGGAAAAGAAAGAGAGAAAAATAAAGTTAAGACATAATATTTTTTTTCGGAGGTATCGTTAATACCTAAAAATAAATCTTATTATTGCAAAACGGGTTCATTTAATTCATTTAATTCATTTTCGTCGGTTAAATTTCATTGCGCAACGAAAGACTCTCCGAGCTAGCCCTTCGTTGGAAAGTTTACATTAGAAATATTTGAGTGCGATAAACCTCTCCTTTAGTATAAACTAAGGTCATCGAACACTCTTTCGTCTCTCCTACAGTTGCAGCATCGAGAACCGAAGAAGAGATAATTCGAGAAAAGAAAATTAAGTTATAGAATTATATTTCCAAATTATACATCCAAAAGAAAACAATAAAATAAAATTATGTCTTATCGCAAGACGAAGGAAAATGAATTCTCGCTTTACCATTGATTATCTTAATAATAATAAGAATTATATATAAAAAAAAGAGGAATATATGTATATAAAATGATAAAACTATAAAATGATGAAAGTTATATCCTAATATTTAAATCTTAATATTTAGAACCATATATCTTAATATTTAAAGTTACGCATGCGTTAACCTAAGGTTCGATTGCACCTACATCATTTTGGATGAACGTCCGCAAGTTTTAATTTTCTGCGGATGTTACACAACAGATTACTTAAACGTACTACTAATCCATAGAAACTAAAATTATTTTGTTTAAAAGATTTCGTTGGTATCAACATTATCCTCTCCATTTTTCGGGAAATTGTCCCGAAAAATTGTCTAACCGACTTAAGTTAATGACTAAATGGAAAGCATTGTAGAACAGCCTTAAGGTTATATCAGAGTAGCGGTTATTCGGCTACGATTACCATTCTACTATTACCAATTACATTGACCATGACCAGGACTTGCTACATTGTGATTGGCTGAAATAGCCATATAAATAGACATAGAAATAGCCATATAAATATATAAATAGTCTGATATGGCCTTTAGTCTAGTCGCTGAGCGATTGAATATGATTGGTTCTTATCTGTGAATCAAACCAATCCCATGCTTTAACCGGCTTGAAATGTCTATTTATTGGCTTATTTATTAGTAATTCTTTGAGTGTAATTTAAATTTTGGATATCGATTACATCCAATCTATTTTTAAATGTATACAAATTTTAATTTTCAAAAAACTTTTTAAATTTACAATTAAAAAATGTTAAATTTTTAAAAAATCTTTTTTCTGTTGTACTCGATGTTTTTACATAAAATAATTTTAATAAAGTAAAAAATTCATATATACATTTTAATAGCACCATTCAATATTTTTTATTTATAATCTAATCGTTTCGTGTATCAGTCATTTACATATTTCTTTTATTAATGTGAAAATTATGAGCTGTTTTGAAATTCGTTATTTTTATCTCAAAATGCGTATACAAAACCTATAGAAATTTCACTAGATACTAATTTTATTGATTACATTTTCTCATTGCTCGCAAATATTTTAGTTCAACCTTTGCTATCGATGTAATAGAGAAGCTTGAGTATCAATTGATTGTGCAAGAAAATTATAGAATATTATCATTAAACATTTGTTTCATGCACTGTACATAAATTTTGTTTATAAAAGGTCGGAATCTATGTATATATATATATATATACATACACACACGCACTCGCGCGCGCAGACACGCATATATAAATGTCTACGTAACAGGATATCCTTGCAACAGATACTATTACAAAGTATTTTACCAATACAAACGTACACGAAGAAAAAAAATTTAGTTACTTAATGTTGTTCTGTTGTATATAATATGTGTCTAACACTGAAATTTGTAACACATTCTTTGCATTTCATGTCTTATTTTTTGCCTTATTAAAAACAAGTTTGTGTTTATTCATTTAAATATGTTGCAGTGGAACTAATTTCATATTTCTACCTATCTTATGTCTTTTATAAGCTTTAATCGATGGATGGTTTAGTTCGTCTACGATGATGATTTCGTGCTAATGCATGAACAAGTGTCATTAAGAAATAAAGAACCATCAATATCACGAATGAATCGAACAGCCACGATATCGTAGTTTTTCCATCCTATAAAAACATATTATATAGAAATAAATTTTAATATATGTATAATGCACATGTGTATTACCAAATTGACTTACCATAGACTTATCATGTAGCTTCTGTTTCTGTGCAATGAAATATTTTTTTAACGGTTCTTGGAATTTTGTGCCAACAAATGGCACAACTGCTAATAAGCTAATAAACTTATCTAAAAGTTCTTCATTGAAGGCTATGATTACTGCTAATTGCTGTATGTGCATTTTAATAACAGCCTTTCCTATAAGGGTTGCACCAAAGAATGTCCAGAATGGAATGAGATAATGTCCACATGTCAAACCAGCCAGGTCAAACAATGGATTTGGAATCTATATTTTTTAAAAATATATTTAATATGAAAAAAATAGGCTACTAAGTAACAGTTTTGAGACTGTCAGATAAGAAAATAAAATTGACTAATGTACATACTGATGCACAAGCTAATATGCCCCAGAATCCAGCCTTTTCAACAAATCGCTTCATAGTTAACTTTAATCGCATCACAAATGATACATTTTCTCCATTTTCCAATGCTTCCAGCGCTTCTAATTCCTTCAGATCTTCTTGATCAAAATTGTCATTCTTATTACTTTTTCCACTTATTCTTGCAGCTCTAGCCATAAAATATGGCGGTAACTCGCCAAGTGCAGTACCAGCCCCCCAAAGCATGGCCTCTATACGTACTTTTTTCATAATATTTAATATACCTACTGTCCATAATGGATCGATCTTTGTTGGACATATTATTTTATCAGGATATGGTGGTTCAGGAAAATTCAAAGTACCACATTCGTATGCTGCCATAGTAACAGCCGCTATATGTGGTCCTAAATATAATACAAAGGTATGCAAACCAGTTCCAAGACCTACACTTGATAATACACCTAATCCTACCCAATATAACCCCCATATAATTTTGGTTTCCCACAATTTAAACATCTGAAAATAAATGAAGCAGATAAATAAAGCCTTATAAATCTAAATAATCAAATGCTGAAGCAAAAATTATTTTAATATATTATACATATTATATATATATATATACAACCTAACCTACCTCTTGTTGGGGACCAGAGATTCTGCTTGATAGAAGAAAAAATAGTATAATCGAAATCATAGCAATTACAGTTCGTTTGTATAGCAAAGTTTCCTTTGCTAAACTAAGCACATTAATGAAGACTTCATTAAAGAAATAATGTAATGTTGTAATTGGATGCCGCCATAATTTTAAATTGTCTGCATCCAAGTTTGAAATATTATGCGGATGGTTTAAATTATATTCCATTGCTGGAGAGGATCTTTCTTTTCCAGCATTTCTTTGAGCTCCGTTAGTAGAAGCTTGATCTTTTGGACGTTGAATGGCAGTAGAATTACCCAACATATTTTTTAAATGATTAATCTATAAACAAAAAATTTAGAATTTAGAATAACTTATATTAACTAATTTACCTTCAAAATATTAGTATCTTTAAATTTAATATAAAGCAGAAGACAAAATTTTTTTTGTTATAACGGAAAACAATGTTTCACAACAATTTACTTCAATCTTGGTATCAACATCAATATTTATAATTGTATATACAAAATTCTTGCATTGTCTAGATTGTTCATTAATCTTCTCCATTATATGACTAATATACTAATTTATAATGAGAAAAACATGGAATAATCAAATGTAATAAAAAGTATTGAAAGAGAAACTGGAGAGAGAAACTGGAAAAAAAACTTTATCACTGAAAAACGTGATTCATAGCAGATGAATTACTATAGGCCAAAGGTCAAATCATTGTATTATCTAACATAAACACATAAGTTGTTAACTATTTTTTAAAATTATTCTTTCTGACAAAATAATTATCATTACTGACAAACATATTTGCAATAAATTATATTTAAAATCCCGAATTACCACACAATAACTTCATTCAACAATAATATATAAAAAAAAAGTTTAGAAATGATAAAATCTATCATAAAACTTTCATTTTATATCATGCAATTCTATTATGATATTCTATATGGCAAATAAATAAAATATTATTTAAATACTTACTACATATTCCTTAGTTAATACTTACTCTGCAAGAAAATTGTAAATGTAAACTTTTATTAATATTTACATAAAATAAAAATTAAAATAAAAACCTAAACTAAAAAATAAATAATTTTCTTATACGTAAAAATCGCTACCTATGAGGTTATGTATTTTAATTATAAATCCAATATGCATGCTACAAATTAAATAAAGGATATTTGTAAATTACAATAGTAGAGAAACATTATAAGACATAAATTTCTCTATTCATATGTATATATATTCATATCATTTCTCTATTCATATTTATTCATAGTGTATAAACAAATGCTACAAAACATGTGATACAAATAACACAAGCAACATTATATTCTTACAAAATATAACCGATTTTCTGAATAATAACAAAAAATTGTCACTCATTTATTGTTTCGTCATACATTTTAATAAGTCGATGTCAGATTACGCTCCATATTTGTGATTACGTGTTAAAAAAAACCTAACCATATCAATTATTCATCATATACTAAAAATACAAATCATCGCGATTACTAGATTAACCAAAAGTCAAAGTTATGCCAAAAATTGATTAAATATAATAAATTTTTGATACAATTTCTTGCATGTTTGGTTATAATATATTGTAATCGAGAAAAAAATAAACATCTCGAAAGTTTCGAAGGAAAACATTAAAAATATTTTGTAATTTCGAAATTTTATTTTCGCAATTGATTTTCTACCATGGAAAGTAACTCTCTAACATCAACTACGTAAAACAACGAATCTTATATAAATAGATTACCTTTTCAAGAGAGTTAAGATCTCTTTGTTTCGATATATGTACATCCAGGCGGAGATCACAGTACAGTGACCCTTTTTTTTACCTGTATCATCATGAGGAGTGAAAGGAATAAACAATCTTTATCTTATCTTATGATGATGAAACTTGTACATACGTGGGTCTACTCTCAATCTTTATATCATTTATCACGAATAATTAATATTAATTCACTTATGACGTACCACCATATATATTATACATATATATATATATACATGCGTACATATTGTGTACACATATGTGTATTATATGTAATATCACTGGGACACATGTTCTACATATAATAAAAATATGCTAGATATGTAAGCACCGTGTAACGTATATGTATATCATATGAATACATTGAGCACAAGAACAAAAAATCTCGAGGGCTTTTCTATTATAATTTTAAATATAAATATTTGTTCTTTTATAGATGCATCGTCATTCCTACGCGTTCCTCCCTAATTCCTATTTTTCTTTTTCTTTTTGTTAAAAAACAAAATAAATTCTCTTTAATCTATTCAGACTCATTCGAACTGTATGAAATTCGTCTGCGAATTATATTTGACCACGATAATCCAGAATGCGCTTCTTTGAACAAACTTCTTACGCTTAAAGTCTTGTATCCATGATGCTGGAAATCGATTCAATATATCGGAGAAAAATTAATTAATTGTATTGATGATCAATTGGCCAAAAGAGTCACTGCGATTGGTTAATTTTTTCTCCATTCAAGATTATGGATCTTTATTTATATCGTTGTGTTAAACGAAACCGACGATTGTGCCGACTTGTGCTAAGCGAGTATATGTTAGATATGTATTTGTATGCTCTTTAGATGACTGATACAAGAATAAATATCATTTATATATATTTTTTCCCAAATCTATTTTTATCATAACTTCTATTGTTATTATTTTTTAAAGATAATATTTTGGCATAATGTTAGTACAACCTAGCACAACTTAGCACAAGCGAGAAAATTAAAAAATTAATGGGGGGCTAGCCTAAAATGTCGTTTTTTTTATTTTTATGACATTTTTCACATTAGGGTTTTAAAATTCGAGCACAATGTAGCACAAATCTAGCACAATTCAGCACAATTCCCAAAATAAGTTATTTTTAAAAGTGGGAGGCTAACTTCTAATAGGTTTGCTAATGCCCATTTCCTCCAACATGGTTCAATTCAGAGTTCCTGTAAACTGCGTTCAATTTTGAATGACAGTTTAATCTTCGATTAACTTAATTTGTTTTCCTTCAACTTTATCTTGATTCCAATCAACTGAATGTATATCCAATGTCCAACTAAATTTGTATCAAGTAATGTGATTGGTGCATAATGAGCATAACAGAAAAGATGAAAAATTTGACGATAAAAGTATCGAGATGATCAAGCAAAAAAAACTCTAAATAATCTTCAATTTCGAAACTCGGAAGAAAGAATATAAAAAAACATTGATTAATTTGTTAGTGGATAATAAAAATAGAGTTAATAATTATAATGATGAATAATGGAAAAGAAAAACATAAACTTGAAATTGAAATTTTAAAAATGCAATTGCAAAAAGAAAAGTTGCAAGTTGAAATATTACAGAAAGAATTAGAGTTAAAACATTTTATTTTAGAAAAAGAATAGCAAAGATTAAAGATATTATAAGTACATATAAAGATGTTATAAATACATATTTTTTTATAGATAAAAAGTTCTTAAATTTCTATTATTTTCGTAAATTAAAGCAAAATTTAATTTTATTTAGTTATTTTTATTTATTTTCAAAAAATGTGTTTATTTTAATTTTTTTTCCCACATAGAACATAACCTCCAGTGGACGTCCATTGAACTATGCCTCCATTAAACTTCCATCTCCACGATGGAAGTTAATAGACGTTCATTAGAGATCCAGGGAATCTTCATGGTGGATGGTGCTCTAGGATTCCACTGTGAACATCCATAAGCCATTCAGCGAACCTCCATGGTGGACGGTCTTCAAGGATTCCACTGTGAACGTTCATTAGCCATCCAGTGAATTTTCACGGTGGATGATCCCACACGGAACATGACATCCATTAAAGATCCACATAACCTCCGCGGCCTCCATGCGACATCTATCTCCATGATGAAAGTCAAATAAATCTCTAATGAAGATCTATACTATCTCCATGATGGAGCTCTACCAAATCTCTATTAGACGTCTTATGGAGGTTATATGGATGAATTACAGATGTTTCATGAAACTTTCATGGATCATATACAGAGCTTAATTGGAGA